GAAAACCCAAATTCGAATTCAAAGTTTTTAATGGCTGTCAATAGTGAAATTGCTGCTCTCTTTTCCTTTGCTTTACATTACTGAAATTAGGGATTGAGAGATAGAGAGAGACGTAGAGAGAATTCTCAATTCTTTGCAACATCATCCAATTCAAATAAATAATGTTTTTTGAAAATCCGTTAATGATGGAATCGTGGGTGGGTGCAAGATACGTGAGGGAGAGGGATGGAATGTGGAGAGAGAAACGTGGGAGTTGAAGATATGCTAGAGTAATTTTAGGACACTAATTATTATCATTAATTCCCTTAAAATGTACATAAATGGTAATTGGGTATATAAAATATAATTATAGTAAAACTTGAGTAGGGAAGGTAATATAGTTTCATATAGTGTAGGAATGTAAAAAATCTCTTTGAGAAAAATGTCTTTTGTGAACATACTTTTTAGGTAGTTTATGATGTTTTACCGTGGTGAGCTGTTGTGGCGTTTTATTTTTTTACTATTTCTTAGGGTTTTTTCTTTTTCTTAATTACAAAATGGATTCGTTAGATTTATTGTTGTTTTGACAAATTGATGATTGAGGTTTGTTCTTGATGATATTTGGTGGTAATGTTTCAACTTTGAGCTCATTTGGAGTAGATTTAGGCATTAAATCGTATATTAGATTGTTAAAATTCGAAAAACAATATGTTTTTGGGCAATTTGCACTTCATGCCTATTTGACCTTAAGTACATGAAAACTTTGGTTGCACTTTGGACATTTTGGCCTTAAGTGCATCTGAAGTGTAATTTTTCACTTTATACTAATTTTTTTTAAACTTCACACCCGATAAGTCTGAAGTTGATCGTAAAGTGGGTAAGTTTGCATTTTTTTCTTTCAAAGTGGGTATAAGTTCAATTGTTACCCCAAAAACGGGTATAGATGCAAAAATTATTAATTTAGAACCCAATAACTTAAACGAGCTAGAACCTCAGACCCATAATATTCAAATCTCGGCTCCGCCTCTGGCCAAAAGTGATTTTTTTTCAAATTTAGGTATTTGGTCAAACTTTTAGAAGAAAAAAAAATGCTTTTGAGTACAAGCATAAGCAATTTTTGAGAAACAGAGAAAAATGGATTCTTCCTAAAATATTTTTTTTAAAAGCACTTTTGAGGAAAATACACTTAGAAACACTTTTTAAAAACTTGGTGAAACACTAACTAATGTTTAAAAGTCTTTTTCAAATTAATTAGTCAAATATAAATTATTTTTTAGCAAAATTACTTTTATAAAAATATTTTTCAAAATAAGGTGATTTTAGAAAGTTGGTCAAACAAGCTAAGGAATAACATTTGTCTCATTTCAAATTGTTCACGGGTTCGACAATTCACCAATCACTTTATCTAGTGCTTTTACAACTAGTAATTTAATCCTAAAAGAGAAACCACGTGAACTAGACAAAGCTAAAAAGACAGGGGTCAAAAAGAAAATTAAAAAATTTACAAAACCAACCTCCCATTATCCCGTTATTATTTGCACAACAGTCCTGTCCAGCCATGCAAGCTAGCAGGCACCCACTCACTATAGACTTTAGTCGTAACTATAAAAGCCCTACTGCCTTTTCAAGACAATTTCTCTCCGTTTCTTCTCTCTACAGATCTGATCCCTACTGTCCAGGTACCTGCACTCTCTTTTCGCTACTCCGTTTGAATCTCATTTTTAATTTTTTTTTTAAAGTTGAATCTCATTTTTGTTGTCGATCGTTTTCATCTGGATCGGTGTTTTGGTTAGCATTTATGTATGCATCATTCGTTTTATTTTATAATAATTTTCGTGGTTTCGGATCTGAGTTTAGAATGCTGCTGCGATGGCGAGGTTGAATTTTTAGCGATTTATGAATTATGATTGCTTGTCGGTAGATTTACATCCATGGAGCTCGTTATAAACTCTGTCATAATCTCGCGTTATTGTTAGTTTTAAATGTATTAACTACTTTAATTATCATGCATTTATATAATATATGTGTGTGCAATGTGCATTGCTGGCTGACTTTTAATGTCACTCTCAGGGTTTCGTTCAGATGAAATTCCAAAAATTAATTTAAACGAATTAATAGAAGAAACTGATAAACTTGACAGAATAAATCAAATATTTGACATTCCTGACAGTTGTTACTACTATTTCCATCATTAGTAGCGTCACTGTGCGATGTTTTTTGGTTCTGGATGATTTAACAATCACCAAACTTGCATTTCCTGTAATCAGATGTTTTTGCAATCTGCAATGCTGTAATGTGCTGGAGATTTGTGTTTATGTCTAAATTTTCAGCGTACAACTTGATTTCCATGGTTGGAGGTTTGCTTCCTATTTGAGGGATGTTATCTGGTTTCGATAGATAGACGAGTCAATGGTAATGATAAACCCGGAGATAATTGCGTAACAGGCATGTAATTGGTCTAAATGGATACAAGAGCTACAATCCTAAGTTCATAGATTCAGATAGATATGAGTTCTACGTCTGCAGCTATTTCATTATCATGAATCTACTGATCTACATGGGTCTTAATAGGACAGAATTCTGTGTATACATGTATATTCACAATATTTATGCCGTACTAGTCTTGATGATATCCTTAATTGTAGTCGCATGTTACCAAGTTGTGAATTGTCTTTGTGATTTCGTAATAGAATTGCTTAGTTTCTTATAGGGTGGTTCATTGGGATTTATGGTTCATCTTTAGGAGGTACACGGGGTGGGTAATAGAGCTTATTTGTACTTCAGAAGTTTTGGTTACAATGTCTTAAAATCTTTTCTGAGAATGTGTGTTGCTGCTTTGAGCAGAATCTAGCATTTAAAAGTAGAGAGATCATGGGTCGTCGTGGAGTCAGTAGTGGTGGAGGACAGAGTTCCTTGGGTTACCTCTTTGGAGACGGTGAGGCTCCAAAACCTACTGTCACCAAGGTAGAAGCTCCACAGAATCAGGGAGCAACTACAAGTGATCCACAGAAAACTACTGCAGCTGCACCAGCTGCAAATGTTAATAAGCAGATTCCAGCTGGCATCCAGGGGAGCAACACCAATAACTATTTCCGCGCAGATGGACAAAACACTGGGAATTTCCTCACAGTATGATCCGAATCATTTTTCTTTCAAAGTCGGTTTTAGCATTTCCTTGCAGATTACTTATCCTCTCCTACTTATTGGTTTCTTTATTTATGATTCACCTCATGGCTTTGATCAAATAAAATAGTTTTTGAAATGACTGCTTTCAGAAGGTGAGTTTGAAAGCAGTTCTATTATGAAGAAAATTCTTTTCCATTCTCTGTTTTGTTCAGTACTATATGCTTATTACATTCTTAATTCTGTCACCCCTTCAGTTCTTGCTGCTTTTGTAGAAGCACTTCTGCTTTCCAAGTAGGTCAATTGAAGCAATTAACATGATAGGTTCCTTTATTACCTTTTGCCATTTTCAGGAGGCAATTGTGGATAAAGCATCTTTTTTTTTTCTTCTTAAGGAAGTTCTTTTCCGTCTGCTATTTAGTTCAGTATTACATGCTTCTTGCGTTCTTGATTCTGTCACATCACCCTTGTGTCAATTGCTGCTGCCCAAGTTTAGCACTTCAGGAGGGGAATTTGAGGACGGAACCATCCTCTTCTGCAGATATTTTTTTCCCATTTTCATCTAGCTCAGTAGCATAAGCTTCTCGCATTGCTAATTCTGTTGCATCATATTCCCTTTATTCTTTTCTAGTTCACAGGGTGATATTATCTTGTCAATTAAATGTTTGAATCTTGTCTCTTTCCAGGATCGCCCATCTACCAAAGTGCATGCGGCCCCAGGCGGTGGATCTTCCCTGGGTTACTTGTTTGGCGATGGAAAAAACTAGTTCCTTCTGTCCAAAGATGAAACTATGTTTTCATGAAAAATGATGAGACTGCTGTTACTGTATGTTGGTTTGTTTTGTGTCTGGGAAAACAGTGTCGGCATTTGGATGATCCAATTGTAATATGATAATCCTTTCCTACCCACTGTTGGGATTCACCCGGATAAGCTTCAACTGTGAACAATCCTCAACGCATGCTTACAGAAATCAAGTTTTAATTCGTGCTACTGTTGTGTTAGGGTGCAATGATTTTAAAAAACTCAATCGTTTTGCATCCATCTCCTAAAATGATTATGAACATGCATGATACTGCAACAATTGCTCTTTTCATTGTAAAGATGTTTAGCGACATTATGATATTTACAACTACAAATATTCAGAGTGGTAATTCAGTGAATGGCATTATAATTACTACTGAAACCATTTTAAATTAATGAAAATTACTCAGCGCAAAACTTCGTACGCTGAAATGCTATCTATAATCAGTGAATTTATTATGCTCTTGTCATTGGATGACTCGAATCATAACGTTGTGATATCCTTGAGGAAGTACTCTTATGAGCAGAACATGGTAAACTGCAGTAATTGATTGTAACGGAGGAGGATTAATAAGCATTGGTGTTTCACAGTTACAAAGACAGTTTGGCGATAAGACTGGGAAATTTGTAAATTGTTTTCTTTCAGCTTCTAGTATTAGCTTAGATGGTGACCACTGTCACCACAGTGAGTATGGGTGAAAGGGCAGTGTCTTCGTAAACCCGAGGAAAATGAAAATGTGAAATTCCCATGAAAATTTTGCAGAGATAAAATATTTCAATTCCCTCGGCCACCTTCACATTAAGTTGGCTCTTCGTCCTCTCGTCCCTCATAATCCCCCCCCCCCCCCC